TCAGATCTGCAGAATTGCACATTCTGCCATGCCTGATGTTCAGTGAGCACACATGCCTATAGGTGCACGGTCATAAACATGCACACACACTTGCATGCACATACACACATGTATGTATCCGTATATATTTAAAGCTTATCTAAAGTGTGTGTATATATGTGTGTATGTGTATCTATGTGTATATATGTACACACACACACACACACACACACACACTCTTTATAGCATCCGTATCAAATCTAAGCAATACTTCAATCAATAAAAGTACAAACTCTTTTTTAAAACTACTGAAAAAACTTCTATTTTTGTAACAAAGTCCCAAAGTAGGCATAAGCCTATTATGTTGTTATTTTTCTTTAAAAATATTATGCTTTAAGGCTTTTGGGGAAGTCCTGTTTTCATATTATCCTTGATATTTGTTGGAATTTAGTGTATCACTAGCAGCAAAGTGATAACAGATTTATATTGGAAGAAATAAGCTGTAAAAGGTCACCAGCATTAAATTGTCAGAGTTGAAATCAACTCACAATATATTATCAAGAGGAGTATACTACACATAGGTATTTAAGAAATCCCTAAACCAAATGCTTTTGACTCAACAGCCTTTCAGGTGGAGCTCCTCTTGGATAAACTTAAGCAAAAAGGAGCCACAAGGCGAGCTCTGTTTGTCCACAACAAGCAGCCTGGTCACTCTAAGAATATGACAATTACAAAAGGAGGCCAAATGCAGTGTGAAGAACTTTGGGCTTTTCTGAGGGTAAGAGATCACTTATTTTTCAGAAAAAATAACAACTTATTAGACCTGGAACTAAAATTCCCCAATAAGAATTGTTAAAAACCTCCTTTAAAAAAAGACCAGATAAGAAAACCATGCCACTGGAGATATGTGACTGAACTGATGGAGACGGAATGGTTACTATTATTTGTCTTCCATTTTTACTGCTCTCAGACAAAGAATGGATGTAATTAAGACACTAGATCCTAGTTTGGGATTGGAAATCTGAATCCTAGCCTTACCACAACCTTTCTGTGTAACTTTAAGTCTTTTAGTACAAAAAGAAATGCATTAGCAAGAAATATAAAAAAGTAATGAGAGAGGTTCTATAATTGCATTAGAAGTAAAAAAAAAAAAAGGCATAGGAAAGTGTAAATACTTAAGTGATCTGGGAAACTGGTAAAAATAACAGGTAACACAAAGTACACTGAAATATTCAAGAGCTTTTTGCTTGAGTGATCAGAAACTGGGTTAAACCTGTAACAGAACAGAAGTTCAGTGCATATAAACCAGTTTCAAAATGGCCAAAACTGGTTTAAGATAAACCTGGTTGAATGTAGTATCAGACTTACCTAATTTGGGTCAAACCAGTTTATGGAAATTCTGTCCCAGACCCCTTCCTGGTTTAACTTATACCAGAGTCCCCCAGGATCCCAGCATGCTTTTCAGCCCTGGGCTGAGCTGTGCTGTCTGCTGCAGACAGCAGAGCTGGCCCCACCCCTTTTGTCTCTAACTGGAGCAGGGGCTGGGTATGGCCAGACACCAGCTGCTACAGCTTCCTGAGGCAAAGGGAACAGGGAGTGGGCTTATTCCCCCCTGCCTCCTCCCGTCTCCCACCAGGGATCAGCAACCAGGGTCTGCATGGCCAGAGTGTAGCAGCCCCTGTCAGTCCCCTCTTTTTCTCCCCCACTCCTGCCCCCCTGTTAGCAGCCTGAAGCAAACGAGGGGACGGAGGAGGATTTTATCTCCCGCTTCATCCCCTGTCCCGCTGGCAGCATGGGTCCACCAGGGTGGAGAAGCCCATCAGCCATTTCTGCCCCCCTGCTCCCCACTCCAGTGGAAGGGGAGGGAGCAAGGCCAGAGCCAGCTGGCATGGCCCCACCATCTGCCTGCCTTGCTAGCGGCTGGGGGCTGTGGGTCTGAGCCATGTGATGTTGCTGAGCAGAGGTGGAGGGGCCTGCCTGGGCTGGGCCTTTCCCAGCGGTATGCAGCTCAGGCAGGGGCTGTGAGGCCAGGTTGCTCCCAGCTCCTCACACCCAGTCTGGGCGGGGCTGTCATGGGGCTGCAGCCCACTGGGCAGGGCACTGCCTACTGTCTTCAGCTCTGTGACAGCCTGGCCTGGCAGCCCAGGTAGCTTGGAGGTGCCTGCAGGCCCTGAGCCTGGCAGCCACCTGCTGCAGCCACTGCCCCACACCACGCACTGTGCAGCATCTGGTGGCTGCAGCCGCATCAAAAGCTGTGTCCTGGCCGGGGCTGGGCAAACTGTTCTGCTGCTGCCATGGCCGCTGCTGCTGCGCTACACCGTGCTGCACTGCTCTGGGTGGGTGGGGGGAGCTTCAGCCTGGCGGCTTCTGCCCAGGGCATGGAGCTCTGGTTCCAGCTCTTGGCTGCCTTTGACCCACTGCACCTAATCACAAGAACTGCTCATCGTGCCATGCAGGCAGAGCAGATGGAAAGCAGCTAGAGCTGGAGCCACAACTCCGTGCACTGGACAGAAGCTGTGGGCCTGAAACTCTCCCTGCCCTAAGTGTCCCTGCGCAAGGCTGCAGGAACTGCAGCTAGAGGTGAAAGGGAGCAGATCAACCCTGTTGGCCCCAGCCAGCTTCTCCTTGCCTCCAGCACTATTTCCTCCCCTTGCCCCCACCAACTGCTGTGCCTTCTGCGCTGCTCTAGGTGGCAGGGGAGAGGGGTGGGGGGAGCTTCAGCCAAGCACATGGAGCTCCAGTTGCTTTCCATCTGCTACGCCCTCCTGCAGGGGCTGCTCATCACACTGGCAGGTGGAGCCAGAGCTCCATGCCCTGGGCAGAAGCTGCCGGGCTGAAGGTCCCCCTGCCCACCCAGAATGGCTGCTGCAGCAGTGGCAGCTGGAGGTGAGGGGGGCAGAACAGTTTGTCTGGCCCTGGCCAGCCCACAGCTTTTGATGTGGCCACAGCTGCTGGATGCTACACAGCGCTGTGGCAGCTGTGGTGAGCAGTTGCCAGGCTTGGGGCCTGCCAGTGCCTCTGAGCCACCTGGGCAGCCCCCACCTGTGCTGCCAGGCTAGGCTGTCACAGAGCTGCAGCTGCTGGGCAGGGCCCTGCCCAGATGGCTTGTGGCCCCATGACAGCCCCACCTAACCTAGGTGCAGGGAGCCAGGAGCTATCTGGCTGGGCAGCCCCAACCCAAGCTGCAGCCCACTGGGAAGGGCCCCAGGCCAGCACCTCCACATCATCCCTCCAGCACCACAGTCTGGCCCAGCTCAGCCCCTGCCCTACAGCTCCACAGCCCCAGCCTTGGGCGAATAGCAGGGCCATGCAAGCCAGCTGTGGCCAGGCCCCTTGCCAACTGAGCTGAAGCAGGGAGGAAAGCTGGGTAGACCCCAGTTGGGGTCCTGTGTCCACCTGGAGACAGTGGAGTTTAATCCTCCCCTCCTTCCAGCCCCCTCCATGCGAGGCACTACCCTAGCCAATATCTGGCCTCAGGGACAAGCCTAGCAAGGGCTGATTCCCCGCTACGCTTCTAGGCACTCCCTGTGGGATCCCTATTGGCCAGCATGGGAGTTTGTGATGGGCTAGTAGCGGGTGCTCTTGCACTGAGCCACCCACCTCACTGTGACCGACCCCCTTCTGGGCTCCGAGTGCCACCCTGGGGGTGTCTCACGTACAGCCAACCCCCTTCCTGGAGCACACTTGCAAGCCTGGGGGTAATGCTGCCACCTCCCAGAGGTGGGACCTGATCTGGGACCTGTGCCCCCTGGGAACCACAGGTCTATTAGTCCTTGAAGATACATGACCCACTGCAAAAACTTGGGGTGCTACCCTTGGACTGCAGCACAAACAGTGGTCTCCCTTAGTCAACCAAACCAAGGGGACCCCAAGGCATAATCTAGACCCTCTCCCAATAAGTCTTCCATGCTAGGTACAAAGGAGAACTTTATTGGTTACAAGAAGTAAGTTTGGAATAGGGTACAGGGTAGAGCAGTATCAGAGAAATCCCTTAGAGCAAAGTGGCATGGTAGCCTTTGATCACGCATCTGAGTTACTGCAAGTTATATATCTAGTTAGATCTCAGGTAGCTTACTCACAAGTATCATCCAGAGGCAGGTGAAGATTCCCTCTGGAGGTAAACGGTTCATTGATCATGAGTTTCAACAGAGAGAGAGTTTCAGATGGTCCAGCTTCTCTCTGGGTTTTCATCATGGCTTCTGCCCCTCCTCCTGGGCAGTCCTTAACTTATATAGACCTTATGATTACATTTACCTGATCCAGTGAAGGCCAGCAACTGTTGGCTGCCAGCCAACCAATTTGAAATGCATCACTGGTTGCCAGGTAGACTGGCAGGGTCTTTAGCCCCCTCCTAGTCAGGTTGGCATTGCTTAGAACAATAGGAAGCTTAAGCCCCCCACCAAGGTATGTGATGCCAGTCATGTAGGCAGAGGGAGCAAGTTTGCCCCCTCCATCAGGAATGTGTCCAGCTCAGGGTACAACTCAGGGCTATCTGAAGAGGTGGGGCAGAGGAGTCTGCCCTTTGCAGTGACCATGGTAACCAAATTGTCAGATAGAGTTTGGGGAGAGACAGAGATAGTATTCTGCCACAGTTTAAACCCCTCTGCAATCATACTTAGCTCCTGCCAGGGGCTAGGCCACACTCCAGTCAGCTTCCCTCCAGCCATCTGCTGCCAAGGGCAAGGGAGGGCTGAACCATCATTACAGGCATGTGTCTGAATTTCTTGAATTCATTTGCAAATCGGTTCAATCTTTGCAGGTTAAACTAACCTACAACAGTTGAATCAGTTTAGGCTCCAGCTTTTTGAATGTCTGTCCCTAGCCTAAGTGATCTGGGAAACTGGTGAAAATAACAGCTAACACAAAGTACACTGAAGTGTTCAATAGCTTTTTGCTTTGGTTACCCAGTTATGGCTAGATGCTTAATACCATTAAGATCAACAACTGGACAGTGGGAACACAAACTGGAATAGAGAAAAAAGGGTTTAAAAATTTTTAGAGGAGATGCATTCAACTCAGCATGGCTTGAGCAGATTTCTCCTAGAGTACTTAAAGAGCTAGTCCCAAACCAATGGTGATTATTTTCAAGAATTCATGGAGGAAGGGTGAAGTCCTAAAGGACTAGAGAACGGCAAATGAGAGACCTATTTGGAGCAGGGGGTTATACCAGAAGGACTCTTAGGCTCACTCTCTACCATATATGCCTGTGATTCTAAGATTTAATCTCTCTGTGCCTTTAGTTTTCCATCTGAAAAGGAGCATGTTAATACAAATGTTTTGTCAATTTTTTTAGTTTCGATTATTTAAGTTCTTTGTGGACAGAGCTTAGTGTATCTTGGTGCTACCATAATACATGCAATAAATAAAAATAGTAGCCAAAAATTATTTGAAGCTAGTGCTCTCTGGGGTCTTCTGCCATGCTTTAAAAATAACTTGTTTTTTCCCCCCCATTCTCACTCAGGATGAGTCTGAGTTTAGAGACAAACTTACACCAATCACCATTTTTATGGAGTATCAAATGGATTACAGAACAGCTGCAGACTCAACTGGATTGCAGCCCATCCTCAACCAGTTCATACCTGCTAACATGAGCAGACAGGTACATGTTCTGTGGAATTTGCTTATACAATATAGGCAAAATATTCAGTCTTAAATGCCTTATTAGCAACCAATTAGAAATAACTCTGAAAAATCAAGCTGACTAAATAAATATAAATGTTAAGTGCCTATCTTTAAGCACTGAATTTTAAGCAAGTTTTTCCACATACTGTGGGTGCATCTACACATATGCTTAACTGCACAGTTTACTAATTTGCTGCAGTGTACAGCATCACAGTCTACACATGCATTGTCATTAGACCACAACAAACTAATTTTTGCCATCATAAGCTAGTACTATCCCCAGTAGTACTTACTATCTTGCAGTGGTGAAAATAGTTGCACTTGTAAATGAAGACCTGAGCATAAATTGTGCCTGGTCAGCCCAGGCGGCAGGGGCCTAGACCCTTGCCTGCCACCTGGCCACATGGCTCTGCTCTTTGGGCACTCGCATGCTCCAGCCAGCCCATCTGACACCACAACCTGGAGTCCAGGGATGACCCACTGAGCCTGCTGCCATTTAGTTTCTCTATCGCACGACTGCTTATTACAGAAATAAGAGGTCAGGTCAGCATCAAGGATGCTGGTTTGTGAAGGTGAGCGTTCTTGATCCATTTCCTCATTTTTTGCTGCTGTATATTTCTGGGGAAGGAAAGAGGAATTTAATGCTGCTTGCTGTACTCTCCTGCAGCTTATTGGTGCTGTGTTTGGTGATCAGTCCCCCTATGTATTTCTGCTGGTACCCAAAAGGTACAGTCACTTCTATAAAAAATATTCTTAGCCTGTAATATTTTATGTAGTGGGATTTCTGGAAATTGTTCTTGGGCCCATGAATCTTTCTAGCTAGTACAAAATGTTGACCAACCTGCAGCACACCTACAGATATGATTAAGTTATTAAATCATCATTTAGGATTTCTGGCTTAAGATTTCAAACTGGATGTTTAACCAAGCTGATTCTTTTATCAGAGAAGCTCTCTGTAAAATACTAAATTGCCCTTACTGTTCTCTTGAACAACTTGACTGCTTACAGACATGAAAGAAAAGAAAAAAAATTGTGCTTTACTTTAACTCAGTGTGCTCCCGTGCCAAGCCCAGCACACGCTCAGAAGAGGCAGCACATTAGTTCACTCAAACATCTGAATAGATCAGGTGCTTAATATAAATCAGGGGCTTTACTGGCACTTTAATCTACTATCTGACTGAATCAGCTTTAGATAGAAGCGCCAAAAAGCGCTGTTGAAGCTCCCAACTTGTACAGACAGTGCAGAGCCAGGTCGAAATAACATGCTGCTGCTTCTGATAAAGGACACTTTTTCCCCACATCTGTTGTTGCCCCTTGATAACAGTGTTGCCCAATTGTACCTCTTTATTCCAAGCTTTTTAAAGCTTATTTGCACAGAGAAAATAATGGATATGAATTCATATCCTTGAAGGGATAAATAGGATTTTTAAAGGTAATCCTTAAAGACATTTAAGAAACTTAAACATCAGCCCTAGAACTAAGTATTATGGGAAGGTTAAGAAAGAGATGCATACCTAAACCTACATAAAACTTTATTTCCTATGTTCTGGCTTTTACATATAAAGGCTTTAAGATTATGCATCATGACAGCTGTTGAAAGAAACCTTTGGGGAAGAAAAGTAATGGTGGGAACTGTGTTAATGAAGATTTGAATTAATGGAGCTAGAATTAGTAAAACAGTTTGCATTTGACTTTTCTGTAGGCACACCTTCTTTTGGACTGTGGTGAAGATAACATCTGTACACCAAAACTACAGGTTTCAGTAGAGAGGTAAACTTCAAGCCTGGATCATACACATAAAGAGCTAATCACAATAAAAGCAATTCATTGTTAAAGAACGATATTCTAAGTTCCTAACTAAGCTGCCAACCTTAGAAGGTGCTGAGGAGCCTCATTAAAAGAAATGAAATTAAGAGAAATCTTTGGGACTATTTGGTGTGTAAAATTTTAAGCAGGTATTTTTCCTTTATGGATCATGGCCTAAGGAAATCTGCTTTCCCCTTTGTAACCAAGCATTATTAACAGTAGAGTTTACTGTAAGTGGACAGCCTCAAGACTAAGCAAAAGTACTGCACTTATTCCAACTTAATGTAGACAGTGCTCATTCAACACACACAACTGTCTATTTTAGGGACTGTTAAAATCCTTGAAAATGAGTGGAGATAGCAACCCTAAAATTGAATAGCTTTTGTCCTATTCAGGCATTTTTACTACCGCCCTTTAATGGCTGCTTCTCTTTTATCAAAGTACAAATATGTTACAAAATAAGCAGTGGAGAGGAATGCATTTAGGCAGCTTATCCACTTAACTAGTATACCAATAATAAAATAATCTATGAATCACTCGGAAAATTAGAACTCTTTGTGTTCTACAGTTAAATGACATATGTCATTTTACATAGATGAATTACGAGTTAGGGTAGAATAAATGCCTGTAAGCACACTGTGGCTGCATTTATTTAGACATCATGGTTTCGGCTAAACTGAACATGTTTGGCAAGGGAAATACAGAATGAGAGACCGTTCAGCTGTACATAACCCACTGCTCTGGTAGCTGCTAGTAGATGCAGTCATAAAAAACATGAGAATGTGTGATTTCAACCAGCATATGTATGTATGTGTCTACATACATGTCTGCCTGCATGCATGTGCACATACATGCCTGAGAAACTTATATGGATGTAGATAAAATTTAGGATCCCTTTTAGCTTTTTGAAATGTAAATGTTTCAAAAATTATTTAAGGAAAATGCTTCATGGTTTGTCTACAATCAGTATGTATAGATGTATATTATGCCAACACTGCTACAGCTTCATGGTGAACTTTAAGTTTTAGGTGTGTGAATTAAAATAAATTAAAAAAAAGGAGAGGGAGTTATAGTTTGCAAGTTCCTGGGCAGGGATCTGACCTTTCATATTTATCTTGTACATTTTTGTGTGTGTGTGTGTGTGTTTAAAAAAATGGGAAAATATTTTCTTGAGAAGAGTTTGGCACTTGATATTTGTTCCATTGTTTTCGCTGACCCTTCTGTTGAACCTCTGTAGATTTTCTTGAAAAAGCTTTGCAATGCTCTTGACTCGTTACATTTCAAGAATATTTTACTGGTGAGCCCTGATGCTCTCTTCTTCTATTGCAATGTCAGAATGCTTCTAGATTCTGGTTCTTAGACGTAACTTGTTTAAAAAATGAAATGGAATATTCACATTAGCACTTGCTGTTCCTTTGTAGCGATCAAAAGCAGATCTATATTGGTGATGACAATCCTTTAACCCTGATTGTCGATGCTGAGAACCAAGGGGAAGGAGCCTATGAAGCAGAACTCTTTGTTGTCATTCCACCTCAAGCAGATTTCATTGGTGTTGTTCGTAACAATGAGGTAAGTTTTGTGACCAGATTCCTTCCTGTGAAGTAGTTAGGTTACAGGAGGGGCTCAAACTTAAGCCAAATGCCTTTTCCAAGCCCCTTTAGTCTAAGAAATCGGCCTGGAAATTTCACTGAAACAGACATCCTTACAAGGACTCCAGTGTCTGATTTGTTTCTAGTTGTTTTGTAAGTGTCACAAAAGAGGTCTGTCTGGCACACTCACTCTCTTGCTGAACTCATATAGGCTTGTGCATGCAAAGTATGGATGTCAGCAGTAGAACACTTCCACCTTTCACAGAGGAGCTTCCAAAAGTGAGCTATTTTAAGAAGTGCATCTAGATCAAGATTTATGAACTATTATGCACTAATATTTTCCTCTTAACCGTAGTGTTTCTGCTCAACAAATTTCAGGTATTCTGTTTCAGCCCTCAAGTTGTCACAATAACTTCTTTGGCAGATGATTCTGGATTAGTAGAGAGGTGTCTAGCAACAGTGGATAGACTGTGAACAGTAGCTATTAATAAACAGAGCGTTTTTTCTGTTAGTCTTTGAATACTGCACTTGCTATTTAATTCAAACGCACAACACCTCATATTCTGGGGAAAGAGGTGAGCAAATCTAAGAGACGATAATACTAAGTTCCAGTTCCTTCCTTTTTGCACAAGTAATGACAAAGAAAAAATTAAAACGCTGGGTTCTGCAGGATATTCTGTCTCTGAAGAATCATTTGGGCAGCCAAGGAGGAGGAACTATCAGGGAGCAAAGAACTTTAGATTTAAAGCAAATCTTGTTCTTGGTGAGGCAACTTACCTTCCTACTTTGGCGATTGTTTGTGGGATCATAGCAGATTTAGACAAAAGTTGGACAGTCCCTTTTCCCCCCACCTGTGGTACCTAAGAAAGTCTCCTCATCTATGTCTTAGTTACTGTTACAGTGGTTGTCATTTATTCAGCCTGGTATGGTATTTGTCTCTGTGTATCCTGGGTCTTGTTTCAAATGGACTGGTACAGAAAGCATTACATTTTTATTAAGACTGGGATATTACATTTTGATGAATGCATCATGCTTGCAGCTTTATTCCTTCCATTCAAATAATAAAAGGTGTTGCACTGAACTCTTTTATATTCCCCTCTGTTTTATTACAGGCTTTAGCAAGACTGTCATGTGCATTTAAGACTGAAAATCAAACTCGCTTGGTAGTCTGTGACCTGGGAAATCCCATGAAGGCCAGAACTAAAGTAAGACTTAGTCAAGTGGGTTCCTGGGGGTTCAAAGACAGGTGAAGATGACACTTTACAGATCTATAATATGTTTAGGTACTCTTTGAAGAAAAGTTACATTCATACTTCTAGAAGATCATCTTTGCCGTGTCTCCAATCCAACCTTTTTATATGGTCTGTTCCCAATATTCTACATAGGCCATTGCTTCTGGTGTTGGTGTTGCCAGATCATCTCAGGAGATGATCCATAGTTTGCTAGAATATTAAATCTGTGTGATATTTAGGTCTCAACATTGCTCACCCACATGTTAAAATAGTTCAAAGAAAATATTCTGATAATTCATTGGAAGTTTGCATTTAAAAAATAATGTATATAGATTTGATAATGTAGCTTTACTAAAAGTCTAGCGTTTTTCACCTGTGCGTTTCAAGGTACAAAAGTGAAAAAATAACTTCCAGCCATCTTAATGACACACGAGCTAAGAAGCAAAAAGATTTAAGGATATGTCTACATAGTTAGCTGGGGTCAACCCTAAGGCTACCCTCAAACCCATACAAAGAGACCTTGCACTGAAGACTCAAGAAGCCCAACCCCTGGCAGCAGTCCAGCCCTCCACAACTCTGCTGAACTTGGGTGCATACGGTTAGACCATGTTTCTCGCCCATATCTCTTTGCAATTGTGTTCAGAACCTGGACTTTGAAAATGCAGGCACAAGAAGTCTTCCAGTTGCAATCCCATAGCTGTGTCAAGCAGAAGTAACTAACAGGTTGACTTCTAGAAGATCTCCATGCAAAAAGCGTTACAAAAGGGGCTGGTTGAAGATGATCCTTAGAGTGAGCACTAAATATCAATGTAAATGTATCATGCAGTGATTTAGTGCAGAGCTGGCAATCAGAACCTGTTTAGTCAACTTTCATATCTGCATTTAATTTATTAGACCATGTGACAAATTGTGCCTTGTTTTTTGAAGTCAGCTATATGACAGCTAATCCCGAAGTGAGATGGATACATTTCCAGTGTGAGTTCATCAAATGACACTTTTTGACAGTTCCATCTGCTGCTTTCTCTCCCATGACGCTGGGCCTTGCACAATTTCAGTGAAATGCAGTAATGCTAAGTAAGTTTTGTTATGAACTTTACCTCGTTTCCACTAACCTTTGACCACTTTGTTTTTAAGCTGTTAGCTGGGCTGCGTTTCAGTGTACACCAGCAGTCGGAGATGGACACCTCTGTGAAGTTTGACTTACACATCCGGAGGTATGCAAGTAGATGTTAACCTCCCCTCTCCCAATCAACTGAACACTGTTGCTAGCTTTGAAACAGATATCCTGGTAAATAGTTGGGCTATGAATAGAACATTTACAATTGAACATAATTTCCTGCTCTGCTAAGTAAATGTTTCATCATGGGTTTAATTAACTTGTGAACTGTTTCCTTGTTTGCATGCAATTGGTTTTTCTTCATAGCCATTTTGCTTGTTGTGGCACAAATGAAATACTGCTCTTAAGTGATGGTGGGGACAAAAGCATTTGAATTATTTGGTGAGAAATTTCATATTTTGCACTTTGACCAAAGTTCTAATCTCCTATCTGCTTATGTCCTGACATAAGGACACCACTCATTGGACTCAAGATATGCCTTGGAAAAGTGCTCTTATAGAAATAGTCCAAAAATATAGAGGAAAAAGTACAGAGTAATTTTTCTGTTGCAAAGATCTCAGAAATACCAAAAGAGGTCAAAATGTTATTGACGCTATGGATTCCTATTTGAAATCTCTGGGTTTATCTTGTGACTCATAGGTAGGTGTTTGTACATCTAACTGTGGTATGGCATCCCACAGCATTCTTGAAAGGAATTTGTGGCACCCTGGTTGAGAATCAGTGCTCTAATACAGGGGTTTTCGGCCTCTTTGCATCGGTGTACCCCCAGCGGCTGGACACGGAGCAGTGTACCCCTGGTGGCTGGACACCAGGGTGAGGGGTGGTATGTGGCCAAACGTAGAGGAGCGGCCACCGCTACATGTGAGCTTCCCCCGCCTCCCGTGGGCGGCCCCTGTGCAGCAGTGCAGGATGGTGCGTGGCAGCCCTCTGTCCCCGCCTGCCCACACGTACCCCCTGGGGCCTTCTCAAGTACCCTTGGGGGTATGTGTACCCCCCAGTTGACAACCCCTGCCCTAACAAGCTTCAGTTCCAAGACTGAAGCTCTGCTTGGATACTGTAGCCCATCTAAGGGGTATTGTCTACATACCTCAATGTAAAGCTGTACAGAGGCACCCAAGCTAGCTCTAAATGGTAGCAAATCAGTCCAGGTAAAGCTGTTTATTTGGGCCCCTGAACTTGCTCAGGTATTTGCACAACTACCTTGTGCCATGTATGCACACCCTAAGAGCACAGTAGGCTGTTTGCTAACATTCACAAATATTCAGTGTATGCACTTTTGACTGAGAAGTGCTAGCTCCACATGTGAGTTAACTGAAAATGCTGTTCAAAACAGGGACCATTCGTTGCACATGCAGTGCTTGGCATAACACATCCTAACATTTAAATGGAGGATTCTTGGCAATGCTGTAATAAAAACAGAATATGACAATACCTCTGCTAGAAGTTATTGTGCCCAGAACATACAAGTGGAGTATATTTTGTGTGCTTGCTTGAAGAAAACTTCAAGACTCTTGAGATGCACAGCTGATAGGAGTATGTCTGATTATTACTTTCACCTCTTAACTAATTCACAGCTTGAAATGCAGCTCTTGTTCCTTGGGGCGTCAGCTGAATTTGTCACACTGAATTTGTCAGAGGGACTCTGTTATCTTAACCCAACGAATGGATTACTTTCATCCATATATACAGTTTTCATTTCTAGGACAGATATGCCAAATAGCTTTAACCCTTTCGTGCTATTTTAATGATACAGTGGTTTGCCTTGATGATTAGAGGTTTGGCAGTACTATAAACCTTTTGATCTCACATTACTGTCTGATTCAATTTTCCCCTCTCTGTCAGCTAGTCTGCTATGGCATGGTGTGCTTTGGCTAGTAGCATATAACTCTTAACCTCCCCTTGGAAAAGGTAGTAACTATTGAGCCACAAGGCATCTTCCTCATCAGCTAGACTCTCTGATTCCCTTACAGGACGAATGAATAGTCATTGTAGATTCTCTTTCCCCCTGCAACAGCCTTCCCCTGGCTGCTTCTGCTTACGTGTGGGGAATCAGCATGACTAGTTGTGTTGCTCACTGAGGGAAGGTGCTACAGTATTTCTCGTGTTCCTATCTGAAGAAACTCTTCTTCCTGACTTCTGCTGTATCCAAAATCATTCCCCAGTATCTAGCTCTGAGACCTTCCCTCATTCTGTTTTACCTTCAGACTTTCAGGAGAAAAATCATTTGTGAGGGAACTGATCGACCCTAGTATAATATAATAAAAGTTAATGTAAAGAAGGGATGCACATCTTATCTTATTAATCTGTTTTGGAGAGTGATGTGTAAACAAACATGGTAATATAAAACCTGCGTCCATAGAATGATAGGGGAGACTGCAGTACGTAGTGACATGTAACAGATCAAGGAGTGGTTACAATACCCCTGCAGTTCTGTATGTAGGAGACGTGTCCTACTAGCCCATTATGTGCCTTTCACTTCACTCAGAGGTATTTTATCTGTTACAACCCTTGGCTAAGTTCCCTTAGGAAGAGCACCTTAGTGGTGAAAACCAGCCTGCTGTATTCAAACCAAGCTTTTATCTCATGTGACTTCAAGTCACCTGGGTCTGAGCAGAGTCTTGAAGGCAGCTTCTTGGACACGCTTTCAGGGAGCAAACTTCCTGAATGGTCCTGAGAATTGAGGTCCTATGGTTCAGCTACCCCAGAGTCCAGGGCCAGGATATTTCCTCCTGGTTAATTCTTTCCATTAGTGTACCCTTCTTAGAGTTCTTGCCATGTCCGTTCTGAAGTTTACAGTTTAGCTCTTTGGGGATTTTCTCTTCTACCCTCTGTGGACTGTAGGCACAAAAAGGCCTTTGCACTGGATAAGAGCTATTAGCAAGTAAATAATTTTTGTAATATGACTGGATGCTTCCTGATATTCCTTTTTCTTATGGTGATGCGCCTAAGAACCGGATCTTTAAACACAGGCATGTTGATGCAATCTGAGAGCAGAGTTGCATTATACATGAAATACACGATCATGGGCATGATCATACAAAATTCAAAAGATTCAATGGGAAGTCTCTAGTTCACACAGACAGATGTTCAAAGGCATTAAGTGATGCAGTGGTGTGATTATTCTGGCTTCCAAGATGGTGAAATATGTATTGGTCAGGAAGAAAATACTGTCTTGCTACCTGTAATTTGTCATTACAACAGCTATGAAGAAGATAGCATAAATGTAGGAAATCATGCTGGAGAGCTGTGTTGTCTCATACATGGAGTGTCAAACATGCTCCACAGGCCAGATCCAGCCCACAGAGCCCCCTAACCTAGCCTGCAGTGCTGCCTCATTGACTCATATTCTGCACCAAACCGGCTCCATGCCCAGTGCCTGGGGTGTGTGCCACCCACAATGCTCACTGGGGCTGGGTCCCAGGCTGTGTTATCCATGGCATTTGCTGGCATTGGTATCAACTATAGCAGCCTTGGGCAGGTGCTCAGAGCGCTGAATCAGGCTTGTGGGCTAAGGTGGTGGTGGGATCATGGGCCTGATCCAGCCCAGGGACTGGCCCTCATGAGTCATCCAGCCCCTGGGGCCAAATTTGACACTCTTGGTTTAGTGGATGAAACAAGGAAGCCCAGCTCTGTTACTAGCCCACTTAGTAACCCTTGGGAAAGTCAGTTAATCTTAGTGTTTCAGCTACCTCCTCTAAAAAATTGAGACAAGTACAGTTGGGACACAGGATACACAGATGACTCTAAGGGCACTTTTACATGTGCTCTGGGGTTGAGGGGGGTGCTTTAATTAGGACGGCTCAGAGAGCTGCTTTTAAAGCGCTGCAGCATCTTGTGTATCAGCGTCACCGCACTTCCAAATGGTGGTAGGGGCACTTTAACTGAAACTTGTCGAATGTCAAGTGCCCCCACCGCCATTTTGAAGTGTGAGGATGCTGATACATGAGACGCGGGAGGCTGCCGGAGTGCAATAATGACCATGCTTCACGAGACCTGATTTAACAAGTTTGCCCCAATGCACTGTAACTACAGTATGTCAGAGCAGCCTCCGAGCACATCTACAAGTACCTGAAGGTTGTCCTGGGGTTAAAAAGAGGCCAAATTGGCCTCTGGGCAAATTTGAGTACCTTAAAGCCTTTTCTAACCTAAGATGGCTAGGTAGGGGCCAGAGTGCCAGCGGTGATAGCTTGAGAACAGCTTGCTTGTATCTGTGGATTGCCCCAGGTGCTGGGCAAGGACACAGTTGAACTAAGAGGACTCGCAGATTCAGCTGAGTCAGCATTGTGCCAATTACTGACCTCTCCCTGCTGGTGGAAACCTTGACTGTATTTATTGGCAGGTTTAAGGTTTCTTCATGACCCTAAGATGATGCCTCAGTGGCTAGACCAGAATGTCTAGACTCCAGTTTTTATATCTTTCCTTTTTAGTATAATGGTCCAGAACTTGTACTGATATTAAATAATATATGCATATGTCTTTTAATTACTTTTCCATGCCATTTAACAAATGAACTTACCTTCCTTACAGCTCAAATCTGTATGAAAATATAAGCCCAGTAACATCTTACCAAGTTGACCTAGCCATCTCAGCAGCTGTTGAAATTAGAGGGTAAGTGCTGATCTGAATTGAGCAAAAATATTTCCTCCTTCCCCTGTCTCCTTTTTTGCTTCCTTGATTTTTGCTTTTTGTTTTTATTTCTCAAACTTCCTTTCAACTCTGTCTGTTTAGGGTCTTATTATGTGTTGAATGGTGTATAAATGAGAACAAAACATGGCTATCTTGTCAACTTTTGGTCCACAAATCATTTTCAGGGCACACCAAATTAATCAGCCTAAGTCAATTTTCAGAATGGGTCTTGGGCTTCAGTGGTTTTTGAAAATGTTTACCCTTCATTTGTACAGTGCATTAAAAAAATATAAATGAATAAGTTACTCCATCTGAACAGGCTGCAAAATCACTGTTCAGACAAAAAATGCAATCTTAATGAGCTGGAATTTTCTTTGACTTTTATAGCTTAAGGTTGAAAAAAGCAAATCCGAAGTTATAGAATATCCATTAAGTTGTATTGACTTCTGTAATGACTTCCTCTCTCTGTAATTTACAGAAAGCAATGTAAAAAGTATATGATCTTCCTAACCAGCTAATCAGCTCAAAATGCTTCTTTCCCAGAATATGTATATAATTTAATAACTCAGAAAAGTTGGGGGTTTTTAGCCAAAAAAGGCACAGAAATTCTTCAAATATATTCTTTTTTTTTTTCAGGGAAGAAGTTGTTTTCTGACACTGCTCACTCATTAACACTTAGCATGTTATTTAGCAAAGTAAGAATCACCTGCAATGCCCTATTTTCTTTCATTTCAAATTCTCATCAGGAAGATGCTGCTTTATTCATTTTTTGTTTTCTTGGTGCTGTTAAAACGTCCTGCTTAAAAGAAGAAAAACTCACTGTGCACTGTCACCAGCTCTAATGTTTCAGGTGCTGGTTAAATTTAAGTACCACAAGTGACTGTACTTACCAGATTTCCCTAAGCCTCACTAGGTATTTTTCACATAGAACCCTGCATTCATTGTTGTAATTAATGTTTTAATTTGATATAAATAAGTGTAACTGGAAGTATGTTGATAATAGAATAATACTGTATAGCAAAGATGATCAACCATTTGTTACAGCAAATCCTCAGTTCAGCTGCTGCATTTTCCAGTATGTAGCATGGAAACATGAAGGCAGTCAGTCAGTGTTTTATTTTTAAATACTTTGTACTTTTTTTTTTGTCAGATCTGTATTTTAAAAGCATTAAGGTCATGTTTTAGGAATTGGTCACATATTAGGCTTAACTTTGGATAATTACTATTTGTTCCCTTCACTGTTCAGCGTGTCTTCTCCTGATCACATCTTCCTCCCAATTGCAAACTGGCAACCTAAGGAGAATCCAGAGACAGAAGAAGATATAGGGCCTCTCGTTCAGCATATCTATGAGGTATTTAATTATTTTTCATTTGAGGTTCCCAGATATGGATGGCTAATAAGTAGCAAGATGCAAAGAAAATACTTTCGCTTACATTTCCTATATACAGCAAATGCGCTTTTCTTCATCTTGGTGTTTGACAGGAATTTAATAATTTGCTACTGTGAGCCAGTCCATAGTCTGTGCCTCCTTACAATTAATAGAGTCAACTGTACAGTGCTGTAGGGGTAGGAATTTGGAGGAACAAGGAATTCCCCAGTTTCTTGCATCAATTACCTTATACATAACAACCGCTCATGTTGTCATTGGCCCCTCAGATCTAGACAGATTATTTGGTACTGTGATATATCATGCAGCAGAGTATTCAGTAAAGTGACTAGTCACTATATAAATTATTCAGCTAGTTTAGATGTACTTTCTCTATTGTGAGTCATTATTACAAAAGCTTTTTCCTTCAAAAATTGCTCTTGAAGAATCTGTTTTTAGAGATTTCATCTGCATTCAATTAATTGTGGTAATGAAATTATTCTAAGACCTGTCTGAATGAAGATGGTTCAAGTTAATATACAGTTGATGTGGTACCACCTAACTAAAGAAACTGTGCTTGCCCTATATCTGATATACCATGTACATACAAAAAATGTACAACATGTGCCTGATTTCATGCAGAGTAGTACATTTTAAAAAAGGAATTCCTTGAGGGCCGAATAAAGAATCTTTCTTAACTTTATTCAAAAGAAACTTTCCTTTTTAGCAATTTATTAAAGGTAACTTACAGTTTAGCTTCTTAGAGGCTTTTTTTAAATCTAAGTAATAGAGTTGATGCTATTTTACTGTCAGTTATGGTGGGGAGGAGAATCCTTCCCGTGCACCTTCATCCAAGTCTTAGTTCAAATTGTAGATTAGAAGCTCTAGCCTTCTAACAAAGAGGATAGTTTTTCAGTCTCTTTCTTTTCCACACTAGCTGAGAAACAATGGTCCAAGTGCCTTTAGCAAGGTCATGATGAATCTTCAGTGGCCTTACAAGTATAACAACAATACCTTGCTGTATATTGTCCAATATGAAATTGATGGACCCATGAACTGCACTTCAGATACAGAGATCAACCCATTGAAAATTAGGGTAAGCAAGGACTTTTCTGATGTTATGCTCTGAACCGAGTACTTTTTCTGTCTCTTGGCTGCATAAAATCTTGAAACAAGAAAAAGATCTTGTAGCAGATCTGTTGATGGTTATTTCATATTCTCAGCAGTTGCTATATTTTTACAGTGTTTTCAAAACTACCTTTCCTCCATTGCTTTTATTTATTTTTCCTTTATTTTCCCCGTTATTTGCTAATTTACAGTGTCTTGTATAGGTAGAAGCCAGCTGGAAGGGTAGGTAGTAAATGGTTTCTCAACCAGAACTTCAGATCTACTATACAAAATGCTTTTTAACTCACGTCATAGTTTTCAGTCCAAAGCAATGGAATTTTACTTACTCTAGATTTAAATAGAAACATTTCAGACATACCTGTTTGGATTTCTGAGGGATATTTTGTTATTGTTCCTTTATCTAATTTATTTATCTAGGACCTAATCCAAATCCCAGGGAGTTCAGTGGGGGGTTTTCATTGACTTCAGTGGATTTTGGAACAAACTAATAGTGTCACAAAAGTATGCAGACTTCGCAGAGCCCAGAACAAGATCATTTCCCTTTTTCATAAAAAAGACAAGACAAAGAAATGGCAGATAAGAAACAGCAGGTTAGAATATAATAAGGAAGCTGGAAGAAATGTTTTTAATAATAAGGTTGGAACAGGATGCAGTGACCATTAGTAATTCCAAAAAAAAAAAAGACAGGAATTCTTTGCCTACATATCCACAATACACTAAGGCAATGAGGCCCAATTGTTTTTTGTGTTTTTTTTTAATCAGGCATGCACAAATTAAGCCCCCTGCCCCCCCAATCCCCTTTCCCTCTGTAATCTGTGCTCTGCTTTTTGATCCCTGCCCTATCTCCTGCTATACTGCCTGCCCCCTCACTGATCCACTGGATGCCACAGATAGGGGCTGCCTGTGCCATTTGTGGCACATATGCCACAGGCTGGCCACACCTGGACTAAGGTAAGATATTCTGTATGTGTTCTTTGCATGGAATGCTCTTTTATTCTTATGAAGTAGGTTAGAAAATTTATATTCAATACATATATATTTGTTATCCATTTTCCCTATGTCTTATGTAGTACTGTGAATTCAAATTCACTTATGGAATAAAAGGTAATTCTACATATATAAAGTTAATAGAAACTATCTAATTGGCTTATGTAAAATTTGGGAACAAAATTCCAAGATTAGAAGAACTAAAGCCTTTAAATAGCATGGTGAAATCACTTTATCTCCTTTAATAATGGATTTAGGTGGGATGGAGTATGAGTGCCTATATGCATTTAGAGTTTATATAGAGACTCTATAATATAGTGAGTTGCTAATTTCTAAGAATAAAAGATCTCTGAAGTACTGAGGGGAAACCCTTCAACGGGAAATTTCTTAAACTGAAAGTTTTTGTTGACAAAATCTGTTCTACCAGGCATGAAACCTCTGTTGACGTTAGTTAATGGTCTGTTAATTCAGCTGGCTGATGTACTGCAAATAGTATGCAATGTTGGGAGTGTTTAGTTATGGGGAGACAGGGAATGGGTTACTACTGTGTTTTAAGTTTTATGTAGATTTCTGCATTAGTGATCTAGGGAGGCAGAGAGCAGTATGTTGTTTCAGTTTGAACATCTTGAAATCGCAAATTAGAGAGGAACTTAGGGAGACTAGAAATGCAGGCAGGCAAATAGGTTTCATTCTCTTGCATGTACTGGCAAATTCCAGACTAGAGCCAATGTGAGAGAAAGTATGGGTTTGCCTGTGCTTTGGGAAGTTTTTCTGATGAGCTCATTTTTTATGTCTTCATGATGATGCTTCAGGCATAACACCACTGAAGTTAATTTTATAATGGTTTCACTGTGCAGCTGATGAGGGCTTTTTGGCGGTGGGAGAGGGGGTTGCCGTAGTGTCACAGTGAGAAAACAATCTTGTGTTTTGAAAAATCCATTTACACAATTGCTTTTTTGTTTTCTCTGAAACATACAAAGAGCAACCATTCAGAAAAGAGCTTATGTAATACTGTCTAATAGCATAGCCAACTATTGACTTGTAACTCAAGTTGTGTACATTTCCAGTTATAATCATTATTACTAATAATTAATAAAGATCCCAAGATTTTTTTTTGCAAGAGCAGATAATTAGCCTGGCATGCTAGCTGAAGTCTGTTTGGGGCCACCTAACATTCCCCTGGCAGGGGTTCTGGTGGTGTTCTATGCCAAACTGTGCTTTAATGCTGCTCTCTGGAGTCAAAGTGGTCCTGTGTTTTATCCCCTAGGTGACCATCTGTCAGCAATGGGTGTGAAATTATTCTTGTATACATTCTATTTAGTAGCTTGTAAAAACAGAGAACATAGTACATGCTGTTTATTAAACTGAGTCTTTCTTGATGCATTAGATTTCTACTCCTAAAGAAGATGAGAAGAATGAAACACTTCGTGGGGAAGAAAGCCGTGACCATCACATCAGTCGAAGGGATATAACTGCCATTGAAGGAGATGTACATACTTTGGTAAGCTTTGTACTAGCATCTTGTAGTAATGCAGGTCTACTGTTGTATGTAGGACTTTTAATGGAAAGATGAGAACTTTCAAAAAATTATATTGAAAGAGCATATCTTGTGGATCCTTAATTGTTTTTTTCCTTAGTGTGTTTCTATTTTTGGTGGAATATTTCTTCCAGTACAATCAAGTCGATATTGTCTTAGTAGTTATCTGCAGGACAGAAGGTTGTGCTATAAAAATAAACAATAGCTTTTAGGTCCTTTTCAACAATTTCCATTTATTGAACTATTTTGTGGATTTAGAAGTTGGCCTATTGTGTGAGTGAGATGCAGGAAAAGAGAATAACTGAGTAGAAGTGGAATAGGTGAGCAAGGGCTGGATGTATCCTACTAGCTGAACTGTAGAGACATCAAAAAGTATATTTTCTAATGGACTTTCTCTCTTTGGACCTTGTTTTGTCTTCCAAACAAAAGCAGCTGATAGAGTAAGAGAACTCTCTGAGCAGCTGAATTCTCAAGGGAGCCACTGTCCATAGGGAATGTAGGGCAATTTGTTTCTTTAGAAAAGGAGTCAGTAGTGCTAGCTGTTGAGGGAAAGAGAGTGAGGACCAGCATACATAATAGCAGGTAGAGCTCTGCAAAGCTTCGGATCATGATTCAGATTCGAAGATGGTTTGGAGGCCAAATCTACGAATCCGAATTGAAGCACTGGAAGCTTTAGGCCAGGGGTCAGCAACCCCCAGCACACATGCCGAGCATGGCACACAAGGCCATTTTGCTTGGCACACCACCGCCAGCCCAGACTCTCAGCAGCTGCTCCCAGCAGGCAGCTGGGAGGCTGCAAGCCCTGCTACAAGAACACCGGGCTCTGTGGGCTGGCTGCAGCCAGGAGGCTGCAAACAACTGCTCTGGGCTCTGGCATGTCAGCACTCTGGCACCTTCCAAGGTAGACATTGTGGGGGTTTTTTGGCACTCCAGCCAAAAAATATTGCCTACCCCTGCTTTAGGCTTTCCAAATCGATTCAGAGCTTCCGAACTGATTCAGAAAAGATTCGAAGATTCCGCCATAGGGTATAATGGGGAATAGGTTAAATATCTATAACTTTGTTGTCTTTTGGCTGATTCAGATGAAACTTGCAGGGATGGTAGTCTCTGCTGAGAGCATGACACATGTCAAGGTAATAGGTGCAGGGGTTTCTGGGAAATTGCACCTCAACATCCTGAAAGCAAAACTCATGTTAGGTGTGCGTGTGTGTATGTGTGTGTGTTAAGCCACAGTAGGGTGAAAACTGCAGTGATGGTAGCCACTGCTGAGGCCACAAAGCCTGCGAGCTTTCAAGGAGGTAGGTGCAGGGGTTCTGGGGCCCTGCACCTTTTGCTGATGACAGGCAAAACTCGTGTCATGGGTGCTCGTGCAACTGTGTCTGTCTTGGGGCATGGGGGCCGTGGGGAAACTAGTGTGACACATACATGTGACACGAGTTCTGCTTTCAAGAATTTGGGGTCCAATTTCCCCCAAACTCCTGCACCAGTCTCCTTGAAACTTGGCAGGCTTTGTGGCCTCAGCAGGGGCTACTATCACCCCCCTGCAGTTTTCACCCCCCTGTGCCTTAACACACGCACAGTCACCTGGGTCGTGAGTTTTGCTTGTCAGCAGTTTGAGGTGCTGTTTCCCAGAAACCCCTGCACCCATCACCTTGAACCTTGGCACGTGTAATACTCTCACCAGAGGCTACTATCCCGGCAAGTTTCATTTGAATCGGCCAACAGACAACAAAGTTATAGATACTTCATTGATTTCCCCATTATACTGTATGGCCAAATCTCAGAATCGGCTCCGAATCTTTCAAAGCGATTTGGCCAAATCGAATTGGAAAAATGATTCGAATCTCTGAATCAAATCTTTGGTATCCGAATTGGCTAAATCCGAATCTGAATTGAATAGTGCCCTATTCACGCAGGCCTAATAGCAGGTAGTGACTCTAGGCTTATTGCATCCAGAGATGAGGAAGGAGCAAATGTAAAAGTAACCCAGGAGTTATAGTCCAGTGAGGAATCTTTTTTGAAATGATAAATCTAAAGAAAGATTTAAATGATTCAAAATCATCAAGTTGTGTATCCGCTTGTTACTCCTACCATTATTTGTCTTTTCCTCCATCCTTTTTTATTTTCTCGTGTTATCCTTGAATGTTGTGCCAACCTGGGATTAGATTCCCTCCTAAGGGTTTGTGGAGCTTCTGGCTGGGGAGGTCTGCTCTTCAGCATCACTGCTTAAAACTTTTGAGTGTCAGTGCTTGCTGTAGCTCTGAGGCTGCAAAAGTTGATTCCGAATTTGCCTTCCACACTGGAAAGAACTTTAAACGGCTTTAGATTGGGCAGCTGGTTTGTCAGTCTGAGTGACTAAGATGGGGGAGTATGTCTCAAATTCATGCTCTGTTCAAGATGCAGCTTTGGGGTCTGAGAATGTAGACCTTAGAAGTCCTTAGACTCGTTGATGTGGAGACATTTTAAAGAAAGGAACCAAAGGAGGACCCTGATCTTAGTAAAAAAAAAAAAAAAAAAGAGCCTGGGAAGGGGGAAACAGGGATAAGCCTTTGATTGGAGGGGAAGACTGTCTGTGACAGTCTGAGTCTAAGTCTTTTTCAGTAGGAGCGCCAAACTCCCCGTTACCAAGTGCTCTGAAATGGCAAGAACTCTTCGTTTCGATTCTTTCTTCCAGTTTCCAAAAGTCCTGGTTTCTGTTAGCATTGTGCATTTTCAGGAAGACAGACTAAGCTGGTGTCTGTGCAAAGTGTAAGATGCACTTGGTACCTGCAAGACTCCCGGTAGTAAATGTACCTTACTTAGAACATAAGGAAATACAGAATAGTTAGTATATTATGATAATAGGAAGTGGGGCCACAATCACTTTGTTCAGGAGGTGAAAGAGCAAATGGAAAGGGAATCCAGGAACTCAATATGCCAGGTGACTGACTGACAGTGATGAAATCAAGGATGCAGTGTTTGAGTGACAAAAATATGTTGCCAACTTGTTCTTGCCTTCTACTCCTTCTCTCCTGCAGTGATGCCTCATGTCTATAGCAATATATTGGCATAGCTATAGTTTTGAATGTTAGGTCAAAAATGTTAAAATGATGCAGCCTCATTTTGTTCCTCTTTCTTTTAGAAATACTAATGATCTAAGCCAGGGCTGTTCAGCTTCAGGTAGGCCAGGGCCTGCAGACCAAGATGGCCACACTCTGTGGGGGTGGCCCCCTAGAATTTCCTTACTGCCTCAGCTATGGGAAAGGGGCAGCAGTGGGAAAGGAGGCTGCCAGGACCTTCAGGCCACATGTTAGCCACTCAGCAGATGTGTGAAGTTGGATAGCCCTGATCTAAACCCATTAGTTAACACAGATGCTAATGGAAAATAAGGATTGGGTTAATCCAGGCTAGGAAAACCATCCAAATAGTTCATTTCTTTTGAATTGCTTACTGATGGGATCCCTCAAGCCTATTGAAGAAGGTCATCCAGCAGCACTAGATATAGGTTGCAACTGTGGTAGTGGGGAGGAGCTGCAGGGTAGCTCCTGCATTGGCTCTGGGCAGCCACAGGGAGAAGGGCCCAGCAGCAGCAAGGGAGAGGTGGCCATGTCCTGCTTTTTACCTGCCCCCTGCAGCAGCCTCTGTTTGGCTCCTGCCACTCATTGTGGCCAGGGCAGGTGGGTCCAGAGAGGGTGCTGTAGGGACCCTGATCCCCCACACAAGGCAGGCTGGGCCCAGGGCTGTGCACTCAACCCAAGGCTCAGGCCCTGCAGGCGCAGACTGGGGGGCCAGTCTCCATAAGGCTGGGGCCAGGGTGGCAGCAGCTGGAAGGGGCCAGTGATGGTAGCAGACTGCTGGGGCTTCTGGGAAATTAAGTCTGGCTCTGGAGCTGTCCCAGCCCCACTGCATGCCTGGGGGCAGCAGGATGCGTTATGGGCCAGATGGCACCTGGGCCAGGCAGGACCGAGGGACCCACCATGGGTCAGACAAAGTCCCTCTGTGGGTTGGATCCAGCCCTCAGGCCATGTTTTGTCCACCCCTGCATTACACAGTTCAGAACTCAGCCCTGAGACCTATTTCATCTCACTGCATATCTTGCTCAAGTATATCTCTGTAATGCATAGCCTTTACCATCAGATGATTCTTATCAGGTTACACAGTGGTTTTACATTTGTTACCCTCAAAATAAACAAATACATGAATAAAATCACATTCTTTTACTTGTTGGTTTGCAAGCATAGCAAAAGTGTTGCAGTTTACAGTGCATTTCCCCCTCAATTTTGTGTGATTTGTGGTGTTTTTTGGCACATTTAAATATAGTGATAATGAACTGTATATGCAATTATCATAGAGTGAGACTAAGTAAAATGCATGTGACCTGTTTCTTTTTTTTTTTGCATATAGGGCTGTGGAACTGCTGAATGTTTGAAGATAGTCTGTCAAGTTGGACGCCTGGAGAGGGGAAAGACTGCAATATTATATTTAAAATCCCGCCTATGGACCCAAACCTTTATGAATGTGAGTGTCTACCCGGTTTCTCCCAATTTCTGAATTACAAGAAGACCTTTTATACCCAACGTGCATTCACCATTTTTTTCCACAGAAAGAAAATCAGAATCATTCATATTCTCTTAAGTCGTCAGCTTCATTCAGTGTGATAGAGTTCCCTTATAAGAACCTTTCATTTGAAGATATTCACAATTCTACAATAGTAAGTAATGTTATGTATGGTTAAATCCAATGTATATAAATGGCAAAACAAAGTGTGTAAAAATCAGTTTCCTTGTTCTGCTTGTGAGTATTTAGTAACTGTTGACTCTTGTGTCATTTATTCTAATGTTGCATTTAATGAACACTTTCTTTTATGTTTGAACTATTTTACATGTACAATTAAGGACAAAACAAAATATTTGTATTCTAAAAGCCCAGCAGTTCTTGCATTTTGACATGAAGACTTTTACATCAGTGTCATGTGCAAATATTTTGTTCAGTGGATAGGAAGTGCTGTCCTGAATCTCTCCAGATTTAGATTGCTGAGTAGTTTTGTCACTGTTCAGAACTAAAAAAACCCCGCAATATCTTGTGACCCAGTCAGTCCAATAAGAAAACCAGGATGGGTACATTTTTCAGTTTTAAAAGCCCTGAGAAATATCTGAGACATTAGTATTGGACACTGTACCAATAGTGGTGGTATTGGAATAACTTAATTTGTACTATAGTAATGCAAAGAAAATAGACCAGCACCCCATTTTGTTAGGTACTGTATAAACATGAAAGAAACAGATGATCTTAAAGAGTTTACAATATATGTATGATAGTAAACAGCAGGTGGTTATAGAGGACAAGGGCACAAAAGGAAATAATAAAACAATGTTGTTTAGCATGACAGAGATGACAAGCACACCAGTTGCATGTCACATTTTTTGTAGGCAACATGCAAGAAGAATACCTAAGGTGTGGTTTGAAGAGGGACAGGGGTGTGACTAACTTGTAGAATTCAGCTTCTAAAACTTACTAGTGCTCCTTCCCCCTCCCCACCATACACTTCCCAAATCCTGTACTTTTGGATTCGTTTTGCAAAGGGAACATCTATTTAAAAAAAGATGTTTCAATAACAATTTTAACAACTCTCAAACATTCCTGACATTGTGCTTTGTTCTGAAAAATGTCAAGCATGTAGAAACATGTAGTTCTAGTAATGGATAATGCAGCTACTGTAAACTGGGGTTGGAAAAGCCTTTACACTGCTTTGTATTCTCCATCAATCTACCATCAATCTCTCTCATGGGTGATTTTTAGGGCTTATTTTAAATATTATAGGTTGAACAGTTTGTTTTGAATCTATATAACGTGCATTCATTTCATTACTCTGTAAAAACGTGATTGTGATTTATCATTGTTTTTCATTAGGTTACCACAAATATTTTATGGGGCATTCAGCCACAGCCCATGCCAGTGCCCATATGGGTTATCATTTTGGCTGTCCTAGCAGGATTATTGCTCTTGGGTCTTCTAGTCTTTGTAATGCACAGGGTAAGCATTATATTGGTCTAAAAAGCATTTCCTAGTTGCATATTATTTTCACTGTAACTTTTTTCCTGGGAATTTGATTCAAAGTTGCCTGAATTTGTTGATCTTGTGAATACACTTGCAAAGTCCATCCATTCTCCTTAGAATTGGGGAGAGGGGAGAGTACAATGAAGATTTGTGGGTGGGTTTTTTTTGGACTGGTTGAGTTCATTTTAATTTTTTGATTAGTATTTCCTGGGTTTGTAAAATGGTCAAAAACTAGAAAATAGATCAGAAGGGGGGGCGTGTCTTAAGTAACTGTTTCAATATCACATCCAATAATCCAGAAATGGCTTTATATTATACAAATAGTATTTTCCAAATACATGCCCATAATCCCATTGAATTGTTCTCCAAATTACAGATGGGTTTCTTCAAACGTGTGCGACCACCTCAGGAAGAACAAGAAAGAGAACAGCTGCAACCCCATGAAAATGGGGAAGGGACATCAGAAGCTTAAACAGAGTTTTATCTGTGTAACAAACTTTAAAATGCCAGCATTTTGGTTACGAATTTTGAGTTCCTCCTGAGGAAAAAACACTTCATGACTGCACTGTTGATATCTTTTTGGCATTGGGAATAGCCAAAATAAGAGCAATATATTTCAAATTTCCCTTATATTAATCATGTCCACGCATGACTAACGCATATGCACTGATTTTGTGAGTGAAAATTATAAGTGATGTTTAGTGTCATGATTTTGCTTATTAGATTTTGGGACAGCGTTCTCTACAAATCAGCAGCTTCCATAGTTCCAATTTATTATGTTTTATTTTGATGGATCATTTTAATAGTCGTACACTACATTTAGTTTCCAAGCCTTTGGCTAGCAGCACAAAAATGAGTATAACTTTTTTTTTGACTCTTTACCTTGAAGGCAAGTGTTTTATTTTTCCTTTCCCTTTTGTCTCTGGTACTTATTTCCCCTCCACACCTCCCATCAAAAAACAAGAATGGAAGTAATTTGTGAGATTTGTTTCCCTTTGCCATCTTCTCTACATGCTGGTCTCTGTGCATGGAGTTGAAGGTCAGCTGCTTCCACAGGATCATTTTACCCTTGCACATGCACTCAGTCTCTCATGCTTTATATTTCACAGAAGTTTCTCCAGAGGTCTGAGTTTACCTTGAAAGCACAGGGTAGGCAACTGACCTAGATGTTGGGGAGAAAAGACTGGGAATGAAGCTTCTGGGCTCTATGGAAGCTTTCAGGCCAGGATCATATGCTTTCATATTCAGTTATGATGCCCATGAAGCCCAGGTAAGGACAGTTGCCACCTGAAGGGGAAGGAAAGGTTCATGCTACTATGTATCTACAAAAGGACTGGATGCTATTGGACAGTGAGTAAGGCCTCCAAGGGCTATAGGTGCACAAAGGCATAGTTAACTTCCAGGCAAACCTGGTGAACATATTTAGGGTCCCTACAGGATTTGAAGGCAAATTCCAGTCCCTTAAATAATATAGTCCAAAGTTTGTGATGAGGCTAAAGGAAACTGTTATAGCTCCCCAGTTTTCTGGTTGATTCAGTTTCAGAGAAAGTTAGAGCACTACAGAAGCTACTTGAACCTATACCATCTGGCAGTATACCAAAAGGACCATCTGCCAGGCAAGAATATCCAGATCATACTCTTTATTTTCCATCCCTGCCATGATGCTGACTGTGGGGAGTACTTAACTGGTAGAGCAAGAGTCCAGAAAAATACAACTTATTTTTTTTTTCACCCCCTCCACTCATCTGGCTCATTTAATTTCTATTTTGCATAAAATCTAGACTTCAGAGTCCTAACAAAGATACCTAGCATTTTCTGTTATGCGCTTTGAATCTTACATAAGTTACAGTTAAATCTTTAGTAAATTACGGTCTTACAGGGATTGAACTAGTTTTCTTTTATTCTCTTAATATTGGTGTGGTAAAATTGGGTCTCTTCTAGATAGAGGTAGCACCCGTCACTGAGTTAGCGATACAGATACTGTGGAGAAACTATATCTATAGAGACATTTGTATTACTATAACTGCGTAACAGTTAGGGAGTTGATGTGTGTGGGTGTGGGTGTGGTAGGGGGTGCTGAAGAGGGTTTTTTTCTGTCTGTGTTTTTGGAACTTGCGGGGGGGTTGTTTTTGTTTTTTGTTTTTAATCGTGCATAGTTACCTTGGTACAAACCCTAGTGTGGATGTTGTTAAACTATTATAAAGGCACCCTATGCTAGAATAGCTTATTCTTCCCTTATGGAATAAGCTATGTGAATATAAATTCCATAACTGCATTTATAAAATGAGGGAGTTGGATCTACTTTAATAGTATAATTAAAGCAGTAAAAATGTTGTGAATAGATGAGACTCTGAAGTAACAGCAAAGACAAAAGTTTTGTCATGCATTACCGTTTGCTCAAAGCAGCATGTTAACCGTAAGTACCACAATGACTATGGAGCCTGTTTTGCTGCAGGTTATTTAAAATTATTAAGTTGTTGCGTTTTAACATTCTTCACACTACCTAATATCTACGAAGAGAGAAGTGACTTTCACTCTTAAGCATTTCTTCTTAACTGTACCATAACTTTTTCAGTTATTACTGAAACATTATGAAGTTTGTAAGAGGTCAATTTGTATATCAGGTGGCTTGCTTATTTATCCATATATGTATTACTATTTAGACAGCTTTTTTAGTGTATAATGAGGTCATAGAGTGAAATCTTACACCTGTGGTGGCATGTTTCATGAAAAGCACAAATATTTAGTGGGACCAAGATTTCATCCACAGCCTTTCATTTTAGGCATTGTTACAGTAATCATACAGAAATAATCAGGAGCTAAGCCTCACTGTGTTATTGAAAGATGAAAGGTATGAAAGATGACTTTTTATTCATTATAGCTTCTGTTGCTTAATTGAAGCTTGTACGTGCACTAGTATCAATCATTACTTTTCCATAGGAAGTGTACATTCAGAAGGACCACTTGGATCCATCCAGTCTTAACCCTGTACGAAGTACAGACATTGAGGAAGATGGAACATAGGGCTGATTCTGCAAAGCTTGTGCTTCAAGCACGAGGCTGGCAGAGTCAATAGGACTACTCATGTACCTAATATTTAGCACAGGATTGATACCATTATGGGAAGAGACAAAAGCATGGTTTACCTAACTCCTTTACCTCATTTGGGAGGTACAGGAGAGCCCTGTTAACCATTAATTATACCCTGATTTTTACTGCGGCAACTGGAGGGTATGTAGTTCTACTGCATTTGAGGTACTGAGGCAGTACTTCGGCATACCTGCTGTAACTAGAAAATCTCATTTGTATTGAAATTATATAAAGTAAGAATTTCTAAAATATTATTTTAATTTCCTTATATTTTTGAAGGAATAAAAGCAAATAATTATTTTCTCTGTTTGATTTGAAAACCTTGTAGTCCATTAACATTGTCTATTAAGAAAATCATGTACAGCTGCAGTATGCAATTTAATTTTAGATATAAAGACATGTAGGCCCCAGTTCACACATGACTTACGCACATACTCAAAGTTAATCATGTACTTATAAGATATCCCAAACAGAAGTGTTTACCTGAATTTTTTTTACAGTCCAGATTTGATGATAATAGATAACAGAACTGATGCGCACTTGTATTACAATATGTTTGATAGTGGCTTGCAAGCACTGCTGTATTTTTCTAGAAAATATAGTGTTACCAGATTTAGATTTAAAAAATACAGTGTTTTTATATTAAATGAATGGCCTAACTAAAGTACTGTGCATAAAATGCATTTTGCAAGCATTAAAGAAATTGCAAAATAGTGACATATAATTGACTTAATCCTCCTTTGAGAAAATCATATTTCATAAGTCCCTTTTCAGATATATGAACCAGCAATTTATATGATTTTTAGCCCTCTAAAAGGGCCTTTTAAACTTCTAGATATTTTTATAATTAAAATATGAATTATATAACTATTCCAGATTGCTTTATTGCAGCATCTCATGGTATATTTTGAAACATTAAGATTTATATTACAAAATGTTTATTATCTGGTACTATATTTTACAAGAATTATAATATTTAACTTATTTTAGGTTTAAATTTACCTTTTAAGAAACATTTCCATTCCTTTAATGGATATATCTGTTGTTTAACCGTAAGTGAGAGGCCAGATACTAGATGCTTATATCAAAAATCAGAATCTTTGAAATGTGTTGCCAATGTCAAGTTTAGGTCTGTAGATCTGAATTTTCTTATCCTCCTATTCTTTACAGTTATGTGTGAATAAGGGATCTTGGTGCTTTTGAAAGCTAGGAAACACATTAGTAAACTTTCTTAACAATTTTTTTCCTTTTTATAATTAAACAAGATTTAAATCTGAATAGAGGTTTTAACATTAGTTATTTCTAAATCTGTCTTCTCTCTAACCTTTTTCAGATGAATTCTCTTGAGTATCTTTGAAAGTGTTTTAGCTTGAAGTCAGAGGATTTGTTGGTGCTGTTGAATTGTTCTCTTTACTAATATGTATTTAGCTCTGGAAGAGTGGAGCTTTACAAGCAAACAGGCATTAAAGTCTACTACTATGTCAGAGGGATGAAGAAGACTTTTACCATAGCTTTTCTAAATGGTGAGAGAGAAATTATGTAACATCTTGTCATGGAGCTTGTGTTCATCCCAGAAGGGTCTGTGGAATATTATTGGTGAACACTCTCAAATGGTGGTCCAAGAATAGCACTTGCCTAGGCAATATGTAGTCAACTGCCTCCATTCCAGACTAAACCCTGTTCCAAAGTCCAAATGTTAGTAGGAGATGTTCCTTTTAAGTGGGTTTTGAATCGGTCCCCTCAAGTGCACATCAGCTGCCTATTAATGGAAAAACTCTGGGATTCCATGACACAAAGATGGCAAGCCAAAATGAAAGGTGCGAGTTTTACAATAACGCTTTGATGTTGTCCTCTTCTTGTGAAGATAATGACTCATTTTGTATACCAACTGGAGAACTGAGGAAGAAAAGCTTGTGCTCTGTTGTCCATGGTCTTCTACTACAAAACAATGCAGTATTTGTTCATTTTAGGGCAAAAATTTGGGAGTGAAAAAGATTGAGCTTCCACAATCCCACTGACTCTAATGGCGTCTGAATGCTTGGTAGTGAGTTGCTAGTTTTTAATTCTCAAGTGCAATATAACATAATCAAATCTAATTCACTACCAAGTTATTTTTAAGTTAAGTAGGACCTAATATAAGGGATCATGTAGCATTTGTTGGCATACGGTGATTGATATTTTTAAGGACATTTAGGAAGCAAATGTATTAAATTGAGTCAATACATGAGTGCTGTAGAAAGTGTTTTGATCACCCACATTGGGTGAGACATACTGGGTATTTATACAGGTGCTTTGCGGGGGGGAGGCACTTTAATTAGAGCAGCTCTCAGAGCCGCTTTAATTAAAGTGCCTGGAGCACTACGTGTATCAGTGTCCCTGTGCTGAAAAATGGCAGTGGAGGTGCTTTAACTAAAGCTCATTCAATGAGCTTTAGTTAAAGCACCTCCACTGACACTTTAGCATGGGGATGCTGATGCACATGATGCTGGAGCCTTCTGCAGTGCAGTACTTACCATGCTCCAGCAGATTGGATTAATCGAGTTTGCTCTGACACATTGTAATTACAGTGCATTGGAGCAGCCTCACTGCACGTGTATACATGGCCACTAGTGTATTTTCTAGAGTTTATCAGTTGCTAACTCATTGGTTTGGGAAATAAAAATAGGTTCAATATTTTTCTTTAAGTGCATTTTGGAAAATTTGACAAGCAACTGTACAACTGTGGGTTTGATTTTATAGTGCTACTACTGTCTCATGCCTATCTCTCTTGTATCTTCAGTGTATTTTTTCCAAAAGAAGTTTAAAACTTAATATTTGCAAAAGAAATCTAAGCTTACATACATTGATCTTGTAAAAATATTTGCATTAATGTTGAATAACTTGACACTTGATGTTTGTAAAGTAAATAAAAACTTAATGTAGCATTTAAGCCTGCAAAGAGAAAGTTGAGTGGCCCTTTCTGATTCAAAAAGGAAATATAGATTCCTTATGACACCTGTTTAATTTAGGGAGGAAAGAAGTCTTTACATGCAATTTGGCATTGCATTAAATTAGTGCACCATTATCTTCACAAGCAGAAAATTAACTTACTAATAATACTGCTATAAATTTGGTTTTCTTGTCAATGGGATAAATATATTCCTAAATCAAGTAGAGATATTTTTAGCAGTTACCAAATTATTTCAGGGAGCTTTACCATACACTTAGAGAGCCATATTCTTCATCTTCAGTCACCTTATTTTTATTAAAATATAAATCTTACAAAGTAATCATCTGTATAATGTAGTACAGAGCACTGAATTGGCATCAGAAAAAGCTAACCTGCCATGGTTATTTTTGTTTAAACTCCATTTAATCCTAAAAGTTCACCAACACCTTAAAATATATTAAATGATGATTTGGGTCCATATATTCACTTTCAGACTTATTGTAAAATACTATTGATTGGATAAATGGATTGAGAAATCATATTGTAAATATTAGGTTGATTTTGATTTGTAGAGTTTTGGAATAAAATATCTCTAAATAAAAGATCTTCTCTGAATTCTTTTAAAGCAATATGCATTTTTAAAATACATGTTGCCAATAGAAATGTTTCTGAATAGTTGCTTGCAGCCAGCAGGAATCTATTGAATATTAAGAAGCATACATCACACAAATCACACCTTGTCAGCTAAACTTGCACAACAAATTAACTTGTGCCAGAGGACTTGTTACTACATTGCAGGGAAAGAAGAGATGGTTGCAGACTGTTTACTCTTGTCATTGGATGACAGCCATTGCTCAATACCAAAAAATACCTGCAGGGATTCCATGCATA